TGGCACTTTCAGAATTACACTGAATAACCAGAGAGGTCAAGAAAAGGCGATAAATGTGTCCGGACTAAAAAGGGGTCTGGCACATTCAAAAGAGGGTCTGGCACAAAGACGGCCTGTTTTCTGCCACCTTGTCTGATATTATTCATCCCTCGTGCCTTTCCTCCATGACATTTACAGATTTTAGTCATATAAACAAACACACAGCATCCAGATTTCCTGTTCAGGCTCAAAAGCGGATAAAACTCATATTTGTTCATATTCCTCTTGGAAAAATCAAAAAAAAAAAAAAAAAGCATAATATCTAACCCCATAATTGTTGATACAGGGATCATGGCTGCTGTGTTTACTGTTTTTAAATGTTTTGTGGTGTTAGTGAAGCATGCAGAACTCATACATGGCAGGAGACTTCCGTTTTACCCACCACGACTGATCCAGTGAGATATGGCGCCTGACATCAACTCTGTTATTAAATTTTCACACACTGTTGACCGCAATATCATCAGGAGCCAACCAACACTTGCGGCTGTGTACCCTTGGGTGCCCAGGCATGCTTACTTGAGTGTGTGTGTGTGTGTGTGTGTGTGTGTGTGTGTGTGTGTGTGTGTGTGTGTGTATGAGATGGTGAGTGTTTGCATGAGTCCTCATTGTCAGATACAGTGAACTCGTTAGAAGTCCAGTGACTTAAATGCGTTCCTGCTTTATTTTACCCATGCACAAAGTCAACACAGACCTGGCTGCTGGTCCCGAGGAAGATTAGTTATTAAATAACTCAAATTTAAAAAGGGTTGTTAGAGGAAAAATTGGTGGAAAATAAAATGGCAAAAAGTATGCATGTGATTTACGGCTGTTACAAGAATGTTGCTGTTACTTCTTTGCTCTGCCGTACATCAAATCAGCCCCTGCCTTTCTCAGTATAGTGTTGCAGAATACCTGAACAGATGACTCAGCTGTTTAGTGAAGCAGCAGTTTCTCCTCATGAGAATAGAAATCAGACCTTTGTTCTTTTCACTTTAGAATAAGAATGAGTTTAGAAATATGCTTCTACCACTGAGGAATGATAAAATAGGCATTTTGTCTGTGTGCAGGCCTTTATAAACAAAGATACAAATAAAGATAATACACTCACGCCCTGCACATTGAAGATTGACCATACATTATCCAAACTGTGTTGGCATGGTTGTGAAGTAGAGGCTGCATTTGTTGTGCTGTCCTCTTGTTACGCAGCTTTGGTTGGATATTCAAGGAAAACTCGTAAGATCTGTTTAATATGGATATCAAATCTTGTATAGTAGGTGTGAAAATGGCCATTGAGCAACCAAAAATTCTATATATAATATTATACCACTGGCTATCCAATCAAACCTTACAGCTTATTTAAACAAACTGGAAACAACACAATCCAAATAATTTCAGTATGGAGAACTGGCTGATGGATTTAACTGACTTTGTTTATGATTGGAGCAAGTGGGATTCATTCTCCAAGAAGAGGATAAACCTGATGGACCTGATGGAACTATGTTAGATCTTTAGCCTTGAGAAAGTTTAAAGTGATTTTGTAATATTGAATCTCTTCTGTTATATACCTTTTTTGTGTAAATATCTGTCCTTATTGCTGGGGTCATTATATTTTACTTTACTGTTAAAAAACAAAAACAAAGTTTAGATTTGGAGTGAAGTAATTTTGACCTTATTAAATCTGTCCATTTAAAAATCTGTGTCCGTGTGACATGAATTTTTCCAATTAAAACTTAAGTACTTCCAGCCCCCTCCAGGCACCAGCACATCATCTATTCAAGTTTTAGACTGAGATTCATGTCTGCCTCAACTTGGAAAAGGTTTCTTGGGATAATTTGGCGCAGTGCAATGCAACCAAAAAGCTGCTAAAATCCAGTTTCTGTATCCATCACCATGAGACTGTCAAAGCTCAGTGCCTGGTGCCTGCTTGTGAGTTCTACCATGAACACTGTGACATTGGAGAAAACTGCTGAGCATGTAATGGATGTTTTGCAGCCACTGTTTCACTTAAGCTCTCCAATATATGCTGATTTTCTGCTAAATGCACTGTGCTATTCACTCTCTGTCTTACAGTTGTTTTATTGAACCGCAGCTTCACACAACAGGAGTCTGTTGCACTTCTGATCAAGCTGTTACTTCAACACAATGGGGTATAAGAGAATTAGTTGTTTGTCTTCAGGTCCTCAGTTTGCCCATTACATTAGGGCTAGATTTGTGATCTTGCTTGGTGAAAGTAATGAGCACCAGCATTGTAGCTCAGTCAGAAAATAATAATGTTCTTACACTCTGTCCTCTGGTGTTGGTCAAAATGGATGCGTTTAATGAGGAGTTCTGTATCTTCATCTTCCTTGAATTTATTTCATCCTTGCTCTATTTTAAGAACAGTATGAATGACGTCAATAACAAAATAAAAGAATTGAGATAAAGAGTTTCCGATAATGAGGGTCATAGTCAACATGGTTGCACATCGTTCTTTCACATGTTAACTGCTGATTAAACTTGCTAGCTTGTAAATGATGAAGTCATGTAACTTCAAGGGCGAAAAGCTAATTTTTAAGCCATCTCCATTGTCTATGCACTGCTTATGTGAAGCACTGCTGGGAAAAAATATGGCATGGCTGAAAAGTAGGTGGCCTTGCTAGCACAGCATTAGCAAGCTGTCGTTTGAATGCCTTGGTGCACTTAGCTATTCCATCACAATGGATGGGGAGCTGTCCTTGAGAGGACATGCACAAGCGAGACAATGAATGAGAGGTCAACAGTAGCTTGGACAAGACTGGCAGAGAGTCCAGGACTAGCAGAACTTGGGCTGATTTTGTGGATGAAATGTTTTGCTCTCAGTGTTTTAACAGTAATGAAGCAGTAATGCAAGACTATACCATTTGACATAAATTGTGTTCCTCAAGGTAATATAGTAACATACTGTACAGTACATACAGTGCTTTTATTTTGTGCTTCATCATGTCTGATTTTTCTTTTCTCTCTCTCCCCTTGGCCCCCAGCTTGTGCTCATAACATCATTCTTTTAATATTATTTGACAGGCTTCATGATTGGTCGTCTCATCTACACAATTTCAGATGAAGTGAGAGGGATATTGAAATATAGTGAGCTTTATGTGTGCATTTCCTGGAATAGAAATTGCCTTAGAAATATATTATCACTGCGCATCTGTTAGTAAAAGCAAAAAAGTTGCTTTTGAGCCCTTCAGAAATCTGAGTGATGTGTTATAATTGACCCTCATGTTGCTTTATTCATATTTCTCATATTTCTTCGGTATTGATTTCAGCCTCCAGGAACACAATTCGGAGGGAAGTTGCCGGGACAGCCAGGATGCAGGAGATAACAGAAAGAGAGGGAAGGAGAGAGTACCTCTCACATGGTGGCTTTGGAAACTAATTACATTGTATGTGTCACCTTACAGCATTTTGAGGGTTGAAAGCATTGGTATGTGTTCAGAGCCTCAGGGCACAATCTCATTTTACATTCAGCTCATTTTGTAGCTCACCATGGCTGCAGGGAGCTCTCCAAAGTTTTAACATCAAATGACATTTACAAAGCAAAGAATCGGCATATTTGCTCTCACAATTGATACTCATGATATTTGCCACTGCTTTGTTTGATTTGTCGCCAAGATGTCCAAATTTACCACAAAAGGGGCAGAGCTTATGTGAGCTGATGTATTGGTATTGATTATGTCAGCTGAGCTTATCCTAGAAATATAAAAAGAAATATTCAACCCCTCTCCAAAAAAACCATGAACATTCAAACATGAAAAAAACAGCAAAGCATACTGCGGATTTACATTTATAAATATGTCATGCATATGAATGCATATGTTGAGTTTTTGTTATGAAGCTTCTCTCGGCTTGAGAGCAAATCAGCTAACCATGAGGGACATCTAGTGGTAAATCATGAAACTTCCTCTCATCCAGATGTCACTTTTCATGTCAGATATAATGGTTCTACATGCTGTTGGTTAGAGAAAATGAAAAAGGCTGTATAATCAAAACAATGGATAGCTGACGCTTATTTAGGACATCAAGAGTCAGGGGAGCTGCCTCTTCTGGTTGATAAAAAAAATCAGCATCAGGCATTTCGTCCTTGAAATATCCCATTTTATCACTGCCTCATACAAGTGAGATTATGTAGCCTACTAATACAAGATGTTGTCAATAATGGTGAGAGCAGCTTTAAATTTATGGAATTTGTGTTTTTATTTTCAAGTTATAAAAACAAGGAATGAACAACCCTTATTAATTAATATTACAGCATCACATCCACAGTAGACAAGACTAATCACAGAGTTACAACTTTACATTATCTGATATTTTCATGGTTTACTCCACTAAACACTGTTTTATTAGTTTCAACAACACACGAAGCCGTGCACAGTTGATGATGCGATGTGTGTTTTCATTGTGTTATGGATTAGTTGCCTCCAGGGAGCGCCCGTCTCCAGTATTTAGTCTATTGTCCGCCTTTTCTACCTGCCTGCAGCAAGCGTAAAGTCACCTGGAAAAAACCAGAACCGTACTGGAACAAGCCCTTCAAAATAAAAGCGTGAAACAGAAACACGATTTTGAGTATGACTTCGGCTTCAGACATTGAATTGAATTGAAACCCAGCTGTAAAACAAACATACAGGGTTGGGAAATAGCTGGAAATAAAAACTGATACAAAACGCAGCTCAAGTATGTGTCATTTGTCATTTATTCAAAGTGTAAAACCATACTGATATTAGCAGTGAAATGTTTACAGAAGATTTATTTCTAAAACCAGGGCTAAACAGGACTAAATCAGATCAACTTTATGCTTTTCACTGAAATTCCATTGAGCAGATCAAAAGGATGTGACAGCCTTCGACTGAAGTAGTCTGAAGGTTTAATTTGAAAGTATATATTTAACCGGAAGAGGTGGTTTATTCTTTATTCTGTGCGCTTGACACCTGTCCATCTTCGCTTACCTCCACAGGCCTCCTCCCCTCCGGTGAACTAACCACCTACAACAAGTTTGACAGCTCAGCTTTTTTTTGAGCTCACACGCAGAACAGCAGCAACTACAGACAGCTGGACTCTCCTCCACTGGGTTTACTTTTCTCATTTTTTTCTCTCTCTGTTTTCTCTTTTTTTGTTGTTGTTCGTATGTGTGCGTCTTGCGTCTCCTGCTGGCTATGAGGAATTTCATGTGTCCGTAGGTTTGGTTACTTTTTTTGTTTGGCGTTGGTGTAGTTTTAGTTTTTTGTATTTTTTTTCTTCGTCGGTCGTCGTACGGAATCTAAGTTAAACATGTCGAGGAGCGCGGAGGAGGTGAACAAGCTCACTGAAAGTACATATAAGGTGGGTGGGAATACAACAGGTGCGACCACGACACGAGAAAAAATACCTCTGTACATCTATGTGTCCACTATTGAAACTGTTACAACCGCTGTACTTGAACTTTTCACTGTCAAATAGTGACCACTGTCACCGGCTTAACGTTTTGCAGGTGTTTTTAATCAGCCTAATAAAACAGGCATAGATGGAGTGACGGGTAAACTCAACCTGGAATCAGAACATACAGGCTAATATGAGTTAAGATAATGTAGCATGTATTTTAAATATTTGTCAATAATATAAAGAAGTTATTTTTCTAACAAACGAGCAGGGTCTTGTGTTTTTTGAGGGTCCACTGGCTGAGTTATGTAGACTGACCTGTTCATTTACCTCTGCATCAGTATAATATCCAGAGTACAGACAGGCAACAGTGTGTTACAGTTAAGAGCAGTTTACTTGGTGTTTAAAGGCTTTCTGAAAGCCACTAAATGACTGTTAAATGAGTTTGGATCACTGGTTTTGAAGAAAATAGCCCCACCCTAGGAGTGCCATTTCCTCATTGAAGTGCGTCCCTGGTTGATCAGCATCAATTGAACTGCTCTGAGGTGTACTCTGGCATCTGTGCCATCCAGTAATTAACTTTAACTTATTTACTGAAGATAAGTGGGTGCTTTTTAAAAGTGATTCTAACTTATGAAATAGATTACTTAATTGAAAGTGAACCACCACATTCACTTAATCCCACCAAAAGTTATCACACTCTGTATACTGCACTCCACAGGTGGGTCAGAAAAGGTGAGTGTACAAAGAGGCCGGAGTGGGAACTAAAAGACTTAATGCTTTTTCTCAGAAGCAGTCAGTCTTTTTGAATAGTTGTTATCTGCTGGGCTCCTCCTGGGACAGCTCCCACAGCTCCTTGGTGTGATGAAACGCAGGAAAAAGACTCCTGGACTCAGGTTTAATAATTTAGCTGGCTGTGTGTGCTGTGTGGTAAGACTATACAGCAAACTCCACTGGTTTGCAGCTACAATCAACAGTAGGCCAATGCTCTCAGAGTACTGTATGTTTACATGAGTGGAGCAGAAAATAAGGGTAGTATTTTGTTTGTTGCACAAAGATCTCTGTGTTGTGAATGATTTGACTGTTTACATATTTCATTAATTCTGAAATTAGAAGATGCAAGGTGTCATTTTTTATGAATACCGTTGTCAGTGTGACAGTAGCTGGAGCTTACATGTTCAGTCTTGGAACCACCCACTCCTGATACAGACCTTTGTCAGTGTTTGTCTTAAGGTGGTTGACTGAAGTTTTATTAATTTCCTGCATTTGGAGCTTGGTTGTGAATCTATAAATTAAGAGGCTATCCTCTCATAATCATCACTAAGACAGACATAATATGGAGAAAGAATAGCAGAATAATTTCCATGATTACAGACATAAGTGCTAAGCCTAGGACATGATTATGTATGATAGTCCCACTCTGTGATATTGATCAAGGAGCGTTAAGAATGAAGAGCCCACTCATGCTGGTATTTGTTCATCCAAAAACCTCCAATGATGAAATATCTTTTTTTCTTTTGTCTTCATTTTCTAGCTGGTTTTGCATCCTCTCATGTTTGCACTTATTCTAATTCTTTCTTTTTCTTTATTTAGTAGTCTGTCATTCAGTCTTTCATCTTCAGTTTCAAGACTGCTTGCATCGCATTCGGCATGGTGAATTTGTGCTGCAAGGTCACAGGTCTTAGCTGCTGTTAATAAGTAGTCAACAGGGTTTAACATGAATGTGTGTATTTCATTCCTCCACACCTCACTCACATCTGATGTCACTCAGTCAGGTGGACCGTCACCCACCTCTTAACTCACATGTGTTTCAAACCAAACCAAAAAACCCTGATTGAAATTATAACAAACTGTCTCACTTCTTATGTCTTCACCCACCCAGAGTGTGATGGATCAGTTCAACCCAGGATTGAGGAACCTGGTCAACCTCGGCAAGAACTATGAGAAAGCAGTGGCTGGTGAGCATTTTTACTAAATCAATAAATGTTCATAGTAACTTAGAGGTAAGGGGCTGATCTTTTTTCCTCAGTTGTCCGCTCCATTGCCAAAAACAATCGTGTTTTTAAACTTTTACATCTTATGGCCAAAGCTCATTAAACTTGTTGGGTATTTTGTTGTTCAGGTTTTGTTTGAATAGACCTGAGCTATGTTTTGGGTCCAGGTGTACTAGGTCAAACCTTAGTACCTTTTTATAAGAATATTCTGGGTGTTACGTGGCCCTCAACAGGTGTTAGGGAGCCTATATTTTTCCCAAACAATTCTGACAAACATTAATGATCATTTTATCATTTTCCCAGCAATGACCCTGGCGGGAAAGTTGTATTTTGATGCAATGTCTAAGATTGGGGAGAATGCCGCAGTGTCTCCTGTCTCCAGAGAATTAGGTAAGTTTCCATGTTGCCCTGTACTCTGGCTCTCTTCTGGGATAAACTATGGGAGATCTGCAGACTGTGGAGATGGTTCCTGCTTTCCTGAAATAGTTGTTTATCTCACTTGGGTCTCAGAGGAATGTGTTATTTGTTGCCAGGAGCTCTTTAGACCATGTCTGCAATTTAGCAGTATTCACTGAATACTGCATGATGTACATCAAACAAGTTACCCTTTTATATGAATGAGCTTCTGAAGTCCACATTAATGATACCATTGTTTTTCATTGAGCAGTGCTTCACAATCAATAGAAATGAAAGTCTGACAAATGGCACATTTATTTAAGCAAAAGATCGAAGAAGTAAATAGCAATAAATGCAAGTTAAGTAAGATAATATAAATAGCCCCAGTGATTGGTCTAAAACTCTGCCAGCCCAGCCTCGTAAGAAAAGTAAGTCCATTTCCTAAAAGCTCTGATTGCAAAAAATGTGGCCACCTCCTCAGCCTCCAAATATCCTCAGATATCCACTGGACAAGCCATGCACAGCCTTGAACTCGATTTACTAAAATATGAAACCAATTCCAGCTGTTCACTGGTGCAGCTGTGGCTGCTGTATGTGGTTTTGATGAAAGAAGGTAAGCAAGAGGAAGTAAATGTGTGTACAGTCAAATCTTGTTGTCATTGAGATATACAACTCTGTGAGCACTGCAGCTTGAACACAGTGGCAGTTATACTTTGATAAATGCCAGCATGGTGCTTTTGATGGATGTACTACTGTGTGTGTGTGGTGAGCTTAGAAATACATTGTGACAAAAGAGTTTGTTTGACTCTGTTTGTTTCAAGCCAACTCCCCAGGCTTCAGTTCCCAGAAGCTCATTTGCAGTCCAAAGATGTCTGGCATCCTAACTCGTTGTCACTAGTGGCACACTTTGATTTAACCACTGTTCGTCTCTCAACTCCCCTGCTGATACGCAGCAAAACTGCTAATTAAATTCAGCAGCACAATGGGAAGTGCCACCTGGTGTTGTATAGGTGTCAGTCTCCTGGCACACTTAAAGTGATACTCCACCCCCAAAATGAAGAGCCCCCCCCCCCCTGCAGAATTGAAAGGCAGCTGCAAAAGTTTGTAATTTGCTCCATAAAGTAGAACTGTGGCTGGTCAGCTTGGGTTCATGTCAGCTACAATGAATTAGATTGGCAAGACTCAAGATTTTAGTCTGCTAAATATTATAAGTATAAATTCACATCTCTTTCTCTACAAACAGCGAGCTTTGTCGAATATGGACAGATGGTGATGAACAACCAAAAATATGGATTATGTGTTGTTCACCACTTTAACAGATAATATTGTGTACAGGTTGTGGATGTGATTGTATTTATGGTGACTTTATTTTAAGACAGTTTGTGATCTTCACAAATTCTAGACAGACATATTATTATATGTGTAAACATTATCACATGGCAGAAACACTCTGGTCTGGCAGTGGTGGGCTATAAATTATTTCAGTATTCAGATGATACACTGAAAATCAAACTGGCATGTCATGACACCGAACTGTCTATTTTACAGAGTTATAATTGTACGTCCAAATACATCCAAAAGTTGCTGCTGTAAGAGGATAATAATCGGAGCAGTATACAGTAAATCATGTCCTTGTGGAGAGTACAGCTAGAAGTATGCTTCCTGTTATAGGAAGTGAAGAGGAAATTAGGGGAGGGACACAAACAAACTGCTGATTTTTATCAGTGTTCATCTAAGTAATAAAAAATGGCATTTTTACCCAGTTGCACCTGTTTCAATTTTCAAAATAAGCACAGATGAATACCCATGAAAAAAGGGTAGAACAGATAAGTCCTAGGATAACACAGACATGCCATTAGCATTACAAAACACTTATGTAGAGTGAAGTCATGATGTCCAGGCTGAGTCACACTCACCCCTGACCTGTGGATACACTCCAGTCCTCACTAATCCCTGTATGGGAGAGAGACATAGAGACAGAGAGAGACACTCTGGTCTCATGACAGATCAGTTTAGTCTGAGTCATTATGAGGGATTATGTAGAGCAGGGGGTGATTAAATACACACTGCAAACAGCCATCTAGTCTAACCAGGTCCGTAAACCTAAATGCGTAGTAACTGGATTCTGTACTGCACATCCCTATAATGAGTCAGGATGTCCAACTTGTGACACTAGGTGCTGTCAGGATTTCAAGACTATGTTAAAGTCTGTGCACCTTGCTTCTGCGCCTGCTCGTGGACGTTGTGGATCTGCCCCATCAGAAACCTGAGCTTCAGTAAAGCGTAGCCAACCAGAAACCAGATACTCTTGAGAGGCACTGCAGGACGGGTGCACCTCATCCTCCTACCTCCTTCCTTTAATTCCTTTAGTCTCCTTCTTCCTCCTCCTCCTCCTCCTCTTCCAGAGTTCAAATGTCAACAGTTCTTTCATTCAGGCACTCAGATATCAGACTTGTTTCATTCTTTGGTCAAACAAGGAACAAGAATTTAGAAGGACCATGATGAGACACATCTAGTTTAGACCTTGCTGTATTTAGTCTTTAGATCTTCTGCGTTTGAGGTGAAACTAAGTGTCACTGATGCTGGCAACTAAAATATGTTGTTGATTTTCTCAGGGAACATTGATAAGAGCCGCACATTGTTGCCAAAAAGTATTTAACAGCCTGTGAGCATGTGAGTATTTTGTTGTCTGCAGGGAATTTAATCTCTTCCAGTTTTGTCCTTTTACAGCAGAAAGGGCTTTATAGATGCTTCATAGACACACACACAAACACAGACACACACATACGCTGTCCTTTGATGGTCCTGGCCCCTTCAAATGGCATCAGACTGACTTTACATAATCCAAGCATGTTTGCATGGTGTGTCAGGTGGCTCTCGCTGATGCCAAGATTATTTTGCCCACAGTCAAAAACAGTGGAGGAACTGTGGGCCGCTTTGCATGCTACCAGCAAAATGTTGTTTTCAAAATCAGCTCAAAGGAGGAAGGTTGTTTTGTTTTTTTCTTTCTATTTTTTGCAGGCACACTGTTTATTTCACTTTCAGACTATAGGCTATTTCCTCTATGTTCCTTTTACCTGTTTTACAATATCTCTGCCCCATGAACACCACAGAGCGCATGTCAGATGATTTGAGCTTAATGATGTTTTTTAATATTATATCTTGTGCAATAAAGTGATAATTGTTCATAGAATGCATTTATAATGACAAGGCAAAATCTATACCATTCCTCAATCACAAAAACACACAGATGAGCATGACCCATCTGTCAACATGGATCAGGAAAGGAAAAACACATTTTTTTTCTCCTATGGAATGACGTAGCAGACCACAACGTGTTTGTTTGATGTTTGATTTACACCTCATCAGTAGTGTTGGGCAATCATCTGTGTTTTCATATAATCATTTTGTCATTACCATCAGTCTCTCCCACAGAAACTAGTTCTGCAGTGCATAACTGAAAAATTATTTAAAGTCGGCTGTCAAAAGTTACAGGCATGAGTTTGTGTCTTCTGTTCACCACTTGGCACAAGCCTTCTCACCAGAGCAAAAGACAAACTGATTTAAATCATCAAATGTTGTTCAAACAGCACATACTGACACTAAAATGTAAAAGCTAAAATATATAGTATAGTGACTACAGAACCCTAAGGACAAGTCTAACCATAGCCGTTACTCAACTGTGTCAAAAAGGCACATTAACAGTGTCAGTTCCATGTCTGAGGTGAACTAGTTTCTGATGATTTGATGGACCTTTTTGCATTTTCACATTTGTGTATGGCTTTACATTCCCCTCAAGCTTGCTGAATTTTCAGATGCTACCTTTTGTGGTTGAGTAATAGTTGTTACATTGTTAAATGTAAAACTGCTCCACGGAGATCACTGTGTCCGACTATGACTCCAGACCATTTACATCCTGGGTAAACAGGCAGCCTGTCTTTATTCTGTGGCTTTATCTCAGTTTGGTTTTGTTAGTTGATGGCGGTGCTTTGCCTCTGGTGTTGTTCACATCATGACACACTTTTGCCCTCACACCTTGCTCGATTGAGCACACCTGTTGCCTGGCAACATTTTGCACGGATCGTGTCAACAATAAACAAATGACTGTAACTGAAGGAAGAAGACTGTTGAGTCTTGTATTCCTGGATTACTGTAACTAAGATACAGTCACATGACACATTTGCATTGATTTCATTATTTAGATTTAGTGACGCATTGATGACTCATAACTACAAATAAACCAGTCTGTCAGGTATTTGACTCAATTCCACACCTGCTGTTGTTTAGATTACGTTATATTTTTTGTAACAGAAGTGGACTTCAAGGTCAGATATATCAGGCATTCAGTCCTGGCATTCAGGTAGTTAGCCTGGCCATTTCAATGCCTGCTTTACTTAACCCAGTGTCTTTCAGTGTAATGTGGTGCTTGGTGTTTTCTCAGATGCCTCTACCATTTTTTTTCTCAGTATCTTATTTTCTGTCTCAGGTATTTCTGTCTCTTGTTTTGTCCAGCACATGCTTCATCCCATCTCTTCAACACTTACAGTACCTTTTTCTGCTTCGCTATACACCACCCTAACACACACACACAACCCACCCCACCACCCCCCACCACCCATCCCCCACCTTATCCCAGCCTTTGCTCCCCACTCAGTTGAGTGTCCCCTGCACTGTCCAAGGACAGATTTACTGGGATGATCTGTGGACGTTTATCTGCTGAGCTGTTTGAACTGTGCAGAGTGAAAGAGCCAATATGCCATAAGGCAAGGTGGAGTAGTCTGGGTGTGGAAGTGGAGCAGGGAAGGGCAGTGTTTACATACTGATGAATGTACAGGTAATAGTGATGCGTGAGACTGGAAGCCTATTGAACATCTGTCACGGATTTGTGCACTAAATTTGTACATGTCAGAGGATTGTTGAGTAAAGAAAACTGGGTTGTTTTTTCCACTGGATTCACTGCCAGTGATGGAATTATACCTCTTTTAAATATTGATGGGTTGATTTATTGAATTTTAACAGAGAATTACTGTCAAGGCACAAGTACAGCTGTTGGCTTTTATTAATCTTTAGAAAACCCCTCTGTGAGGATTGTGTAGACGACTCCTTTTCACATGGGTTTATTTGTTGCACTGTCGGTCCATAGCATATACAAACCTCAACAAACAAATATTTAAGAGGTGCAAGAGACGAATTAGCTGTGCTAATGCTCTGAAGAAGTTGCCATTGTATCTGAACCATGGAAAATCTGTTTAAAAAAGTCTCAAGGTTATATCAAGATTAACAGCCCTGTGTACAGTACAGCTGTACTTGTTGGCTACTGAAGAATGTTTTGTGTTATGACCTAAACTCACTGTACACGGAAAATAAATGCCCATGGGAAAAGTTCTCTGCGGGAAAATGTCATAACATGTATTCTCAAGTTTCCACTCTGACAATATACAGTATATCCTGCTTTCATATCCGAGATGCTTCATGATCCAGTGGTAGACAGAAAGTTTTAATCAGTAATTTTTCTTATGTATTGTTGCATACATGGAGGAGATACACTCTCTATAATTCTAATTATAGTTGGAAATTGGAATAGCAATGTATTGTAAGGATGTCTCTCAAAGACTGTCTTCCAAATACTTTGCTGTTTTATAGGATTTAAAACACAATAAACATCTTTTCAAAAATCTGAATTTGGAGCCACACTTAAGATGCTATAGTTTTACAGATTCTCCATTATTGTTTCCCTTTTGTTTCCTGTAATAGACTGACTCCCCATCTGTGCTAAGACATGGTATCAGATTCATTGGCCCACTCACATTTTGTGCGCACACAAATTTTCTCCTCCATATCTAAGTCATTTGAGGGGTGTTTGTCAAAAGACCAAACCGGGCATTTAGCTACACACATGCAGAAGCCTTTTCGATCTGTGAACAGCACTGTCCAGGACACAGACAATATGTTGGAAACAGACACAAGTCATCTTGAAGGCCATCTGGCTCAGAGCAGAGTGACTGCTCTTAGTATTGCATAAAGCTGCACAGTCACGAAGCATGAGCTCACTTTTATTCAATTAGTAATCTTAGAAAAATTAATATACTGTAGATTAAATTGTATGTTTTGTAACATGTAGCTAGATGTATAGTGAATCATAATGATGAAAATGTGTGGTGCTGGTTTCTGTATTTTATATTATTTGTTTGTTTGTTTGTTTGTTTTTTTCTTATGAGAATCACTGTACACTGTAAAATGTCCGAAGTACTGTGAATTCAAGCATGAATATGTTCTTTGATTATCTAGAGTGCTGTGTTCTTTAGCAGACAGGTCAATTGGAAATTTAATTATAATTTTCCACATAATTATTGTACTCCATAATCCTAATTTGATTGCTATGTGACCAACATGCAAAGACAGAAGGTTATAATTTGTGGCTGCTTTCCATTTGAGCTCTTTTTGATTAGCTGAGCAGTAGGTGGTCCAGTTTTTCAGGTCCAGGCACATGATTTTTTTTTTTTTTTTCCATCTCAGTGAAGGAAACATAATTTCTACATTTGTGTAACATAATCTGTAGCCAGTAACATTTGATGGTTTCACGGTTGCAAATAACACTCATCATTTCGCAACAATACATTCTTTCAAATGTTTGTTTATACAGTATTGTGCTCATTGTCATTGTACACTGTTGTCAGTGTTGCCCAATGTCTTGAGATATCATCGTCTTTGCTATTCAGCAGAGGCTGAAAGGAAAAGGTCAACAATTGGATTACGCTGACCTGTGTTTGAACAGACATTAACCTGAACATTGTTTCTATTCCTCCTCCTCTTGTTGTCTCTGTGTGGCAGGTGTTGTGCTGATGGAAATCTCAGAGGTCCACAGGAAGGTTCATCTTGAGATGGAAGAAAATGTGAGTGCTGTATGTTTTTGCATGTGTATATGAATATCCTGTGTAACATAATTGCTCTGTAATGGTGTTGCCTCGCCCAAATGCATTTCAGACGCTCTCACTCTCTGAACCTGTTGCTCAGTATAAGCCTCAGTGAAGCCTCAGTTCACCACAGCACAATTTAGTGACACACACAGTCAGCCAGTAGCTCACTCTCTCGCTACAGCTACAAACAAAATACAAAGGGTTTGGAAGAGGAAGGGAAACAACAGGTTTGGGTTGTAGGAACACATGTTAGTTTGTTTCCTTGCTGAGATCAGGGGGCAAGCCTCAACATGTCCAGAAAAACAGCAGCTGGAGCTGTTGCAATTTGGTACATAAACAAAATAGTCTATTTTAGGCTAACAGCATGCTAATGCAATGACGATTATTTTAATGAATAATTAATATATTGATTATTTTTTTTAAATGAATTGATGAATTGCTAAGTCTGTGAAAACGGAGAAAGATGGGACAAATGCTCAGTGAAAGGTCTGAGTATCCTATTCTAGTTAAAAACTCAAAGGGACAAGCAGCTACTTGATTACTGATTGTTGTTGATTTATTCTCTATCCATCTACTAATTAATTAATCGATTAATAGTGTTGTCGCTATTACCCAATTAGGATACACCCCAAAATGAGCATATTAAAGGGTATCATCTCCTCATTTGAAACCCTAATGAAGACCTGTGTTTCATTTTTTAACGGTCATGAACAAGCCATGTAACTAGTACTCCTTTTCCTCTAACTGTGCCCAAATTCAATTCCTGAAGTTTGCTCTTTTGCAAGATTTCAATTATCTCTCTGCAAGAGCACCAGCATGTGTTTGTTGAGTGCCTCTCAAGATCTCGAGATTTACCCTCTGAGTATACCACTATCTTTTTGGATTTTGATTATCATATCGTAGCCTTTAGATTTTTTTTCTTAAAATTTTGCACAAGCTTTGTGCTTGAGAAAACAAATAAGGCCAGATTTTGAAAATAACCTGTTAAAGTTGAACTTTGGGGCAGAAAAGTTGCAAGGCACTCCTCTGAGACATTGTTGCTAACAGCATCAGTGGGTGGGTTGACTTGTTAATGGACTCAAGTTGGTGAGTCACAGCATCAATTCAGGTCAGAGAAAATAATAGAAGAAAACTTTTTGTCGAGGGTGTGCGTTGTGTGCGCAGCAAGGTCTCCATGGTCATCTGTGTGCGTTCGTTAATGGGGTCTACCAGTTCATTGTTCTGCCCCATGTGGGTGCAGATGCCACATTGCAACAAGGCTTGTTGATGGGAGGACTGAGACACCCTCACACTAATATGAGAGAGCTGGAGAGAAAGGGAGAAAGTGAGAAAAGTCTGTGGGTATTCCCACGCTTTGTTTCTGACTCATTCATAAGCGCAACCTTGGACTTGGCTGTCACCCCCGCACACACGTAGTGATACACGCTACATGATCACTCTTCATTTCTCTCTTTGAGACTTGCAGTATTTTCCCTGTGACAAACTGTTGCGCTCCATTGTCTCATCAAGTTTCTAATCACCACTGTGTGTTCTCTCCCTCTCCTCTCTCGTCCCTCCTACTCACCTGAAGTTTAAGAGGTTCCACAAGGAGATAGTGACCGAGCTGGAGAGAAAGACTGACATGGATGTCAAATACATGACAGTGAGTTGTTTCTGTGTATGTGTATGTGTGCTTGCAGGGTAGCGCACATGCCTGTGCATGTTCATTTGTGCATGTACTCCACACCCCACCCCCTACCCCCACCCCCTCCTTCATGACAACACACATTTCCATATAAAAGTATCTTTTGTTATAGTTTTTTTTCTCACCATTGTTTTGTTGTCTAGTACATGTTGTATGTTTATTAGTTAGCTACATAGAATGAATGGGAAGCACAAATAAACTCTGTAAGCAACATGTCAAATCGAAAACCTTTGATTATTGATAATTGCGATAATGAACAGGATGAGCATGGATGGGAAACTGTGATCAGTCAGTGACATGAGGGTTTAATTTACACTCAAAACACTTTCAAAACCTTTATCTAATCCTGTGCAGCAATTCAATGCTGCATTTATGGTAATTAATTTATGTCATAATGGGAGTTATTGCTGCACCACAACAAAAAAAACTAACAAGAGAAATATATTTTCGAGCAGCAACAGTAAAAGTGCTACACCATTCATGTTTAAAAAGAAAATTCAAATAGGAATCAGTGAAGATTGATGTTTTGACTTGGGATCTACAATGCATTACAAATGCAAATGTCTGCACAAAGATGGCTGGGAATATGTATCATTTTACACAAACTTTAATGTTTTATTATAACTCATAATCACAATAAGATTTTTATAGTCCACTCTCAAATCTGCATTTTTGCAAATGAAGACAATTTAACACCAACACATTATATCATATCAATGCAAATGAAATAACATGAGTGATAACATGTTTTAGAAAACCTTACGGCAAACATGATAATGTGATTATTGAGTTTGTCTACAAAGTGTGAATATGTCATGTGCCCATATATATGTGGATTAGATTACTTTTCAGAAAAATGAATTTGACTCTTCATTGAAATTGCAAGTCAGTATTGAATCATCAGTCATTGTAAAAACACAAATCCACTCCTGATTTCTGCTACCTGACACAGTTCTGGTGTTCCAGCACTCACATGTACAGTGGGGAGAACAAGTATTTGATACACTGCCGATTCTGCAGGTTTGCCCACTTTCAAAGCATGTAGAAGTCTGTAATTTTTATCATAGGTACTCTTCAACTGTGCGTGACGGAATGTAAAACAAAAATCCAGAAAATCACATTGTATGATTTTTAAGTAATTAATTTGCATTTTATTGCATGACATAAGTATTTGATCACCTACCATACTTGTTCTCCCCACTGTATCTTTCCTCCACTTTAGGCCACATTTAAGAGGTATCAGATGGAGCACAAGATGAAGCAGGACTCTCTGGAGAGGTCCCAATCAGACCTGAAGAAGCTGAGGAGAAAGAGCCAAGGCAAGAATGCCAACAAGTACGAGAACAAGGAGAGCGAGGTGAGATGGATGTAGAAACACCTACAGACACATGACACATACATGGATGCTCTTTTCTTTGACACACGCACAAACACACACACAGGTGTGTTCACATGTGCATAGACATGATTACACAGTCACCTGAGACGCACCATGTCAAAGCCAGTGTAACAGTAGTTGGGGACAATGTGTGAGGTGTCTGGTGATCTATGTTTGTTGTTGGCTTCTTTTGCCCCTCCCTCGAATACACCTGCATGCAATCCTCTCTTGCACCACCTTCCTACACCAGCATGCCACTAATAAAAATGGACACACACATGCATAGACAAGCAAGCAAGCAAACAGTGAGGAATGCTTTAAGTGAATAGTTGCGTTCATAGCAACACTTTGCTTTCATGTCAAGCTCCAAAGAGTAAGTATTAATCCATTTGGACCTCTGAGACAAGCTTGTTTAATGCTGAACTTTAGCTGCCAGTTTTAATATTCCTTTCTAGTTTTATATCTAAGCTTGGTTAGTTATGTGTGTCTGGTCCCCTAGCAGTACTACATTGTTATGTTTTGAACTTCATGTTTGTTTTGCCGTTTTGTAGCACCCTGTCTCTATATTAAAATTTACACAAGGCCTGAGGCAAAAAAAAACAAACCTTTGGTCTATATCATACACAGCCCGTTTTGGAAAAAAGGTAACTCTGATTTGGACATAGTTTCTACAGGTGGTTTAACTAAGTCTACACAATTAATCACAGTGGAATGTTAAATCATTACAGCCAGTTTAAGTTGGTATTTCATGGTGCCACCACACCCTAACAGTGACTCTGCTGCAGATGAGTTTGATCTCAGAGCTGCGACCCTGAGAGCACAGCAGCCTGAGATCTTACATAACCTGCCCACCATTGATCCAGTCAGACAGCCTGCTCACCTGGGTGTGTGTTTGTGTTTGTGTGCGTCTGTGAATGTTCAAGGTTTTGTGTATTCTGTCAGCAAGGTCAACCCTACCCTGGCCTGGCAGAGGGAATGGCCGCATTGACACAAAAACACATAAAAGTGAGGTAGATGGAGGCACCCAAAAAGGATTTACACACTTTAATTAATAAGTGCATTGCCATTATTTCATAAAGGTCATTGCAGCTTTAATCATATATAGAGACTTTGATTTATCATATCCCACAACAATTTACTTAATAGTAACAGAAATGGTGGCTAAAAATAGTTTTTCATTCACTACCTCAAGTTATATAAAATTATAGAAGATTACATGATAATGAAAAACACTTAGTTTGAATTTGTCCTAGATATGTTTGCTTTTTAGTGTAAATGACATTATTATATGAATTCATGTTGGAGCAGCTGAGGATCTAAGAAATTAAAGCATCTTTTACTAACGTCTTGTACAAGTCTTGAACACAATTATAGATAGACTTCCTTCCTCTTCTCTCCTGCCTCCAACTCTGTGTATTTCCTTCTTTTTTGTCTCTTTCCTTTATACTCTTGACACTTTTCCCTATATCCCCACTTCACCTTCACCTCCACCTCCTTCACCTTCCTCTGTTTCCTTTTTTCTTGTCACCTCTCTTCTCCCTCAACTTCCCACTGAGCCGTGAGTCGGAGAATTCGCTCGCTGCTGTGCTCACTTATCTGATTTAAGGCCAGGTCTTAGGATTTAGATACCCGACAGACCTAGAGATATGCCGGCAAACAGACAGACAGGGTGTCAGGGCTTAGAGGCAGGATCTTACAGCAGCAGATGATTCACCAGACACCAAAGAGACTTCAAAGCCAGAGAACGATCTGTCAGAAAGTAGAGATGAGATTAAAAACAAAAAGGAAAAAAAGGAGGTGGGAGAGCTGCTACAGCTGTCAAACAATTGATTAAAAGACTCTCCAAAAAAGTGAACCCAAATTTTTCTCTCTGTAATCAAGATTAACAGAGATTAACAAAGATTAAGATATGTATCAAGGGTGTTGTGTGTCAAAGACGGTAGTGTGTTTTTTCTCTTTTCTGTCTGTTTCCACCCCTCTCTCTCTCTCTCTCTCTCTCTCTCTCTCTCTCTCTCTCTCTCTCTTACCTATAGTTCTTAGATAAACAGGTTATCCATAGCAACAGGCTCGCTGCAGTGTTGTAGATTAAGAAGTGATTAAGAGCGTGTGTGTGTGTAAATAGCATTTCACTCTCCCCCAATTTTTTTTCCTCATCCACTTGTGAGAAGAAATCATGCCGCCCACTTCCACAGTTCTGGAAAGGTGTTCACTCTCTGTCTCTCCCTTGATTCCATTCAATTCAAATTATCTTTTCTGGCATGAAATACAACAGTAATTTTTGCCAAAACAAAACAGAAGAATAGATAAAAGGAATTGATGTACTTTGAATGCATGTGATATATTCAGTTAATAATTTCAAGGCCAGTAATTAAATTATAATTATCCCGTAGAACATCTCAATTCACTAAATGAATGCTAATGATGAATACAAATTTGGAAATCTAGTTCATAGTGATAATCAGTTGTTATGTTGGAAACACAATGTTACACATTAAGTGGATAGTGTTGCACACACCCTTTCTTCTCCACGAGAAAGGGTTTTTGCATTTTTGATTACATTGATTACATTTATGATAAAACCTTAAAACTTTGATAGATTTAATATGAAATATTTCCATAATCTGTGCAGTGCACAAATAAGTGCAGTGTAGAAATAATTGGGGCTGAGACCACACCCTCGTCTTACTCCGCGTCTTTGAGAAAATATAATTTTTCAACAAATTTTTACTGCAAATTGATAATTGGTATTCATACAGTCAATCAAATCTCATCGTTAATACCACTGTCTTTTATTATATACAACACCCACTTTGAAATGCTTTCTGAAAGTCTGGAAGACAAAGCAGGAGTACACTTTTGATTTGTTCTCACTAACATGAAAATCAGCTAAGGTTGTATGTGACCTATGGTGCGACATTTCTTCAAAAGTGGAGTCTGACTTAGGCGACATTGTGTTCTTATAGATACTTATTATTTGTGAGTTGGTAATGCTGCAGTGAAGCTTCTGCCTTTATAGCAGCAGGGTAAGATTATTGGATGTCCCAGGCGAATGCAAACACTTGGGCAGGAAAAGAGAAATTAAGCGAGAGCAAAAAAAAACAGTAACAAGGAAGATTTCAGTTTCTGCTTTTGGATGTACGCAACCTTTGTGTACGTGTATATATTTGCTTGAGAAATTTGCATCTGCTTGTTTGTTGACATGTAGCCACAAAGGTAGGCCTGGGTTCATGAGAGGACTTCTCTGGCATTACACAGGCAGGCAGGCAGAGAGACAGATGCTCATTTGATCTGGCAGACAGACGGCAATGTTTGGACAAGGATGATATCACTCTGCAGAGAGTAACTTAGCATTTGTCACTAAATACACACACAGGTGTGCACAGTTTATGTTTCTTATGCTGCTCACTATTGAGGAAAAATATTAATTAGCCCATGTCAGATTTCACATAGACTGGAATATCAAAAGAATAGATGTTTATTAAAGAAATGGCTGCTTTGGTAGGTTAATAAAATCCCCTTCATCTAATTCATGGAAAATTATCATCATCATATTATGAGTCATTTTTGATCCTCTCAGACTGTTTTATAGAGATAATTCAACAATATTGTTTTCTCTGTATGAATTATGAGGGCATGTTTACTCTGGGCATTTTACACCCAAAAGAACAATTAAAAAAATATCAAGTTAAATAATTAAATGGTAATTATGCATTTCAATGATCTGACATGACACCCCACATGAATTTGATTGAATTTATTAACCCTCTACAAACGTAACTATAAGATGGCTTCCATATTTCCATGGGCAATATGTTTTTGGACACACAGCTGGCACAGTAGATGAGAGTCCTGGTAAATAAAGCCCTCAGGCAGTTGAAGCTTTATCAGATGAGTACGGTTATAAGAACTGAATAGAGAGGGTGTGTGCCATTGTGTTAACAGCGGTTACAGGCGTGCCAATTCCAGCCAGTTCGATGAGGGCGACAAAATGGATATCCCATGAGGCTTTCAAAGACAATGTTGAAAGAAGTTAACGTCTTCTTCTTCTGACTGTATAGTGGACTAATCTTTTATGAAGAAGTAACAAGTGTGAACAGTTGGTTTCACTTAAAAAACTATGTTCTTTATTGCTACAAAAATGCTGGTAATGTTAGCAAGTACTCAAACCAGGACTGTAGGAGCCAGGTAATAATCCTGCATTAGTACTACATTACTATTACATTAATACAATACTTTATTGTTACAGCTTTTTTTCTGAGCTCAGTTCACTCATATTCATTTAGTCTAGTAACAAAACTGTGGAACTGAGTCTGTATGAAGCTTTACTTTATTCTTGCTCACAAAAGAAATATCAAATAAACCAATATATTCAAGATGATTCAAGATGGGAAGTTTTAGATAAAAAAAAAAAAAGATCATAGCTGCAAATTATGTGATTTCAGTGTGTGTAGTCACTTTCATGTACATGCACATGGATACAGATAATCCCAGGCTGTCAGTGTAGATAAGACTGACGCTCCCTGTGACTGCTGCCCTGTCCCTCTTCCTCCTGTTGCTCTGTCCTTTCACTTAACACTAATGGCAGCCCAATCTGTCAATACAGTAAACTCTAATAATACCAGTTCCCCTGCGAGACAGAGATTAGGATATTCAGAAAGGAACCCTGATCCTTTCTTATCGTTTGCCCTTGTTGGATTTGTATGTCGTTTGTAGTGAAAGGGCTTCCATCACTGCAAACCATGTGCACAGGAAGATAAGACAGCATGATGATCTATTCAAGATGGTAGTATGTTAGACAGTGCAAATGAAAGACCATTAATCCGTTCAAATTAACTGGAATTATATCTACGTTTGTACCTGTGCATAGACTCAGAACTTGCATGTATGTGTGAGGTATTGGGATGATGGTCAAGTGAATCACCTGTGTATGCGCATGTGTGTATGTTGTCAGTGCCTGGAAACATTGACGAGCCGTCAGATGGACATGCAGTTGTTTATCGCAGACGGATGTAAAGAGGCTCTGCTGGAGGAGAAGAGACGCTTCTGTTTCCTAGTGGACAAACACTGTTTGTTCTCCTACCAGATCGCTTCCTTCCATGACAAGGTACAAGACATGAATCAAGCAGCAAAGTTTGCTTTTCCTTGACAAAACACTTGACTGACTGTGATGTTGGTGAAAAGCTATCTTCATGATGCATATGATGACATAGACAGTCCCATTGTGTCACCACAATTTTTAACTGTTATGACCTTGAAAACCATCATATTGCTGTGTACCTTACAGAGAAAACTTTCAACAGTTTTAAAAATCTAAATATCAGCCAGAACAATTTATGCCCAAACCCACGATGCATCATGTTACCATAGTGATGAAAATGTGTGCACTGCTTCTACTGATTACTCTTTTTTTTTCTTTTAATATCTTTTCTTATGTCCATGCCTGCTGGACAGGCTAGAGACATGCTGACGGCAAAGCTGAGCAGCTGGCAGGACCAGTGCAACGATGCCATCAACATGCCCGATAGCATCTTGACGATGATTGAGGGACTACGGACGCCAGTCTCCATCACACCGCTGCCCTCTCCCTCTCCGTCACAGCGCAGCATGGTATGATGGGAGGGATGAGGGCAGAAATAAAGACATGTTCTTATGTATGATGTGTTGCTGCCTTGTTTCATAGTACATCTTCTGTTATGTACACAGTGTGGTACAATACAATGTCTCAAGATCAATATGTGCTGAAAACATAATAATAATTACTCCTCTAACAGAGTAGATAACGTGATTAGATATCAGAGCTCCTTGCTGTATGTGTTTTGTATTAATGGCAAGAAAATTCTTTGCAGTGTGGATATATAAATACCTCAGTATTTGAAAACAACTCAAATTTTATCATATTTTATTAACTAACTCTAGTAAAGATGATGAATGTATGAATGCCATTTGCTCAAATGGCTTTTATTCAGATCTTAAATTATTGTAAGTGTAATCTTGGTAAATTTGCGTTTTAGGTTCATGTTTAGCTTTTGAAGCTGCTACTACTATCACCAGTTGGGTGTTGTGACAGAGATTCATTTTGTTGTATTTAAGTAGCAGTACTGGCCTCACACCTACACACCTGCCAACACGCTAATGTTACAATTAATGTTCCTTTGACAGAACATGGCTGCTCCCCCGGCTCCACCTCTGAAACCTCAGACCAGCCCTTTAGCTAACATGTTCACCCAGGAGAACAACACCACCAGTGTAACCACCGCTACCAACAACAGCACAGGTATTATGAATATGACACCTCCCTCTATGATGTGCTTTCAAGCTTGTGCTTTTTAACACAGTGAGTGTAGCGTCTGTTCTTTCCTGAAATGTGACTGGTTTTTATATTGCCTAGAACAGTAGCATCTGCTTCAATTTGGTCTGGATTTGGGTATCACTTTTTAATCACTTACCAAAACCTAGTCTAAAATAAAGTGGTTGTGTAAAATGAATATTTTAATATAAATACTAGTTATAAATGATTTTTGCTTCTCATTTTTTCTCCTCACTATTACTCTTCATCTTTACCTTTCTTCCTTCCTCCCCTCCAGATCATGGGAGCAGTGAGGAGAGCAATCTCCCCAGGTCTGTGTCTGTCGCGACGGGCCTCAACAATATAGTGAAGAGGCCTCGTGTGCGCACCATCTTTCCCCACACTTCTGGAAACAACAGCACACTGCTCAGCTTTGACGAGGGAGATGTCATCATCCTGCTCATCCCTGACGAGAGAGACGGGTGGATGTATGGCGAACTGGAGAAAAGTGGAAAGTGAGTCAAACCACACATGTTGTCAGGAACAGATGCACCAAAGCCTATAATCACACAAGTAAGGAAAGTTATGTGCACATGAAGTATTGTACATAAGAACAGGATTACATGTGTAATACACACTCACAATTAGGATATACCTCAGCTTCCTTATATGTCTTTGAATATTAACAAGAATTATTCCGTCTTATGTATGAATTTACTATAATCACCACCTGCCTGATCATCAGTTGTTTTACACATGTCTGTCATGTTCCCCCCTTCTGCTACCGGTCAGGTGATTGACATGAGCTGGACTGCACTGTCCTAACTGGCCAGATGGTCCCTTTGCCTGATTGTAATGCCGGCCATGTACACACATACGCACACAGCTCTAGGCTCGTCGAGTGCTGCCTGAGCTGGAACACTCACTGATAAGGAAATCAAAGTAAAGTATGGCCTGAGGGTGGGATGTATGATAGCAGACTGGACTGAGGCAGAGAGAGGTTCAGAGTACCACCTGCTCCCACACAGACAGGCGCCAACCATTCTCCCCAGGTCTCTGATATCTGACTTTTTAAACAGGGATTTGATCTGAAGCCCTTGGAAGTGTGTTTTTGAATTTTGATCATTCATCAGGTTTGATCTTTATCACTATCAAGGGAAATTACCTGGCAATTTTATCCAACAAACTGATCAAGGGCAGAAAAGAATAATGTTTGAGTTGCTTTCAAAAGTGAGGCTGTCGCAAAGTAAAACTTTGGTCTTGCTGCCTGGCTACTGCTAGTGGGGCGAGCGTGAGTGCCTAAAGGCTTAAAAAATGTACACCGCTGTGTTTATCAGAACGCAGCATCTGACAAGATAGGCTTCGTGTCCCACAGGAGGTTTGGCTTTGATGCATTTGGGTCCCTCGCTGGATTTCTCCCTTTGTCTTATATCAGCTTTGATAGTGTATCCCGGCAACTTGCCTGGCAACAACAAGCCTGATTCAGATACCCACACATGGCATTGACAGACTGAGGAGTGAATGTCAGCAAGACAGAGCTACATTTGAATCAGTGAGTGAAAAACGCACTGGTTATACATAAAACACCGCAGCAACATTTAACAAAGAATGACATCGGATTTGTAACTATGAAAATCATCATCATCATGGTCTCTTTCCATAGATAAATTTGATCCCCCTATCTTATCATCCAAGCAGGCTTGTTAGAGTTTTGCTTTCCTGTCAAGGAAAAGTCACTAAGGAAAGTGAACGCCCCTGGCTACCAGTATTAGTGAGCTGTCCTTGAGCAAGGTTTTTATTAATGTCAAGTTGTTTCCGTGAACCTGTTCAGTGGCCAGCACTAACATTGGTCCTGGAAATGAGTGTGTGTTCCCAGCGGAAAACCCTTCCCTAAATAAATAAAAGCTATTATTAATATGAGTGTGATAGAGTGAGGTGTATTTTCCAGTCTTTTTATCAGCGGTACATGAGGGAAACGCCTATTCTTCAGGCCAAATGTGCAAATATTAACATTTATACACATGGAGGCTGACTGGCTACATACTGATTATGAACAATCTTGTACCCTAAGAGGACAATGACACACAGTCCTTGGCCTGAGCTTGTGATAAAACAAGCTGTTACTCATTTTTCTCTAAACATTTTCATTCTCATGTAAATTCCTTTAAATATGTTTTTAAGATAACAATAACAATAATAGTGATAATAATAATAAAAACTTTATGTACATAGCACCTTTTTGAAAAAAATAGAAATAAAGATTATAAAGATGATGGAAATAACCATTTTTTATCAGAGCAAGGTGAGAAATTATTGGAGCAAAGCAGCTTTAATTTAATTTAACCAACTGACTTCGTCACGTTGTTGTCACTATGTTTTTCAACTCCATAATGAAGTCAAGTTTATTTTGGTGTGTGTGTGTGGGGGCATAGTTTCTCTTACCAAGGCCATAAGAACCTCACAGGTCTCTGATGTCTTATTGAGATTCATTCAAGTTCCAAACAAACGCTCTGTAATTGTGTGTAAGCTCAGCGAGTTTTAGATAAGACCTTGCCCACAAGACCTTGATTCATTCAAGTCATTGATTTCCCTTGCACCTTAGAAAAGATGGAGAATAATTGGGCTCCAACCAACAGGGAAGACGTGTGGTTAAGAAAGAGAAATCATCAAAATAAAGAAAAAAGCTTTTTAAATGGGTCATTTTGATAATAACTGTTTGCAAATCAGAGGCACCCATTCATCAGGAAGCCTTTTCTATGATGGATTTCAGCTTTCTGTTACCATGGTTACCATAGGCATACATCCACACAATATATACAACAACAGCTCTGTAATATCGCAGCGATACTCGGTGTGGGAAAATAGAAGCATATCTGCCACTGTGTCTGTCTCTGTCTCTTCTGATTAACAGATGGAGAAGCCACTGAATGGAGGGCAGAGCAGCTCTTCACCAATCATTTAGAGAGGTTTTCAGATCCCTGCTCAATGAGAGCTGATAGGCAGGCTGGCAGTAGGATAGACCACAGATGTAATCATCCCTAACTTGGCTTCTCTCTCTTTGTCTCTGTCTTGCAGGAGGGGCTGGTTCCCTTCATCTTACTGCCTTGCACTCACAGAGGCACTTGTGAATAACAACAGGTAAGGAGACTCCACGTCCCACCTAACATGCACACATCACACACACACACACACACACACACACACACACACCAGCAGGTTTCATGTTGCAGCCAGCTGTATTGTTGGCAGTGTTTCCTCTAGTTACTCCTGTTAGAGTGATAACATTTCTAATCCTATAGGGGACTCTCCAATTCCTCAACCTTTGATTCCTGTTGTGCTTAAGTCAAATTCTACTTTCAGTCTCCTCATTTAGCCACATGAAACCCTTTAGTTAATTTTTTTGTATGTGTTGCATTATATGACATAACATAATGTGAGGAAGAAGACGCTGATAAAACCAGTGATGTATTTTATTCACAGACCCCAATAAAACTTTTAATTATCTTTTGCTCATACGTATATAGATTGTGTAACCGTCACAAATCTGTGTAATCGAAATGAATCTAAAATTGGACTTTTCACACAAGCCCAGCAAAATATCAGGAAACAGGATGTTGTGTGCTGATGAATAGATTTTGCTGCTGATGAGAGAGCGAGAGAGAGAAGGTTCAGAGAGTCGACTCCAGGCTTTTCTTCAAAGAGACTAATCCCTGTCGGATTAATTTATTAGATCTTAATGTGCTGCACCTCCCACAGAGAGGCTGCCAGCCAACTGCTACCAGTCACGGAAACGCAAAGTTTAAACTATAACCAGCGCTGGGGGACACAACACATATACACATCCTTTTGTCCTTATGAGGAAAACTCCACTGACCATATTTAGTCTGTGTCTCATAACCTTAATCTTAATATCGTGCCTATAAACCCAACATCAACTTTAAGATTAAGAATAATTAACCTTAACCTCCTCTAATTAGTTTGATTAAGTGGCCTTTTTCTTCCACTCTTTTACTGTCCTCTCTCTTCTTCACTCCTTTCCTTGCACTCCATCTTTCATCCTTTCTTTTCCTTCACATAATTGTGCTCTATTTTTGTCTTTTTGTTTCTACCTTGTCCCCTCATCTCTCATACCATCCCTCCTGTTTCTCCTCCTCCTCTATAGTGTGTCTGTTGCACCATACCGCAGCAGGAGTGTGGTCAACCTGCACCATCAGGACACAGAGACAGATGAAGCGACCATGGTGCTCCCCCCCGCGGACTACTGTGACACCCCACAGCGCAACATTATCAAGAACAACACCTCGTCCACCAGCACCGTCATCACAAATAACAACCACCAGCACTCCCCCACACCCTCTGCAGCCTCCTCCTCCTCGTCCGACCACAACACGGTCAGTCAGTGGGCAAGTGATTTGGTTTATGAACATTCATCTGACATAACGGTTTTGGCAAGAGTTTAAGTCATGTGTAGTAAAATGTTCCAGTAAGCCTAGTTCAGTTAAGCCCTGCCTTTTATAAATATGATTGTTCTACGAAATTTAATCAGGCCAGAACAATTTGACCTTCTGTCTTCTGCCAGACCTTTCTGCTGCGCTGGCACAGCTCTGCCGTGGTGCCGTGACAGGAGCGGCAATGTGAAGTTACATCTCACCTGATACCTGCTGTAGCAAGGCTACTGTACTCTCAGCTGTGCAGCCTTACCTTGACTGCTGATGACAGCACCTGTGTGTGTGTGTGTGCGTGCGTGCGTGCTTGCATGCGTGCGTGCGTGCGCGCACGTGTGTGTGGTGTCATTTTATGTCTGAATTGGAAACATGACCACTGATATGCTCAGTGTCAGCTGACACAGGTTAACACTGATGTTTGCTGCAGGTATGTCCACTATGGTGTGGTTATCTCATGAAAAGCTGCATGTGAGACCGACTAAAGAGGGCTAATTTTTTCACTTTCAGTCTCTGCTTGCAGAAAGGATACTGATTTAAGTCTATTTTCTAAATACTTATGCTTTAATGTCACATTTTATAAGAGAAAGTAGCACATTAAGTATGTCTTACCTAAACACTTACTTTCTTAAATATCACCTGTTTTGAAAAGCATATAAAAGCAGGGATTTTTCTGGCTCAATATGAGGCAAAGGTGGAACATGATGTTGACGATGGGGACCTTTTATGATATATACAGTAAAAACAGCTTGCTTACCTGAGCTATGTGAGGCTTGGTATTACCCAAACGATGAAAGGCACCTGTCCGTCCTTGAAAAAGCAGTTAATTTGTGTAAAAACAGCCAGTCAGGTGGAAACCTTAAATTGCCAAAAGCTATTAATGCATGTTGGAATATGTTTCTCCTTCTATGTGTTAACCCAGGGAATTTCAACCTACCCCAGGTTATACCCTCTCTCTCACCTGGAGCATTTTGGGTACTTTCAAACCCCCGTGACTCTAAACAGGACAAGCGGGTAGAAAATAGATGGATGTATTTTAACTCTATGTAGACTTTCCAACAAAATACTTTGAAGACCCCTGATTAAGGTAGGCAACCCTACCTTAATTTTACCTACCCCTAAGAAACCCTGTTTTTTCCAGTGACTAAAATGTGTTAAATAGGGGACTGCCAGCTCTTCTCTAAAAGCCTGTCTTGTTTTCCAAACTTGCAGTCCCAGGACTCATCCTCACATGGTTGTAGTGGATGAAGACAGAGGCTGAGTAGGGCACAGCTGTATAGAAGATTGCCTTTGTTACAATGTTCCCTGGTGTACTGATAATAGGTCTCCTGGAGACTCTGCTCCAGTGAGAGGCAGAAACACTGGAACAGACATGAGTCTGGGTCAGGTTGGGTGACTGAAGTCTCAAACAGTGCACACACACACTCTAACCTGATATAATGATGAATGAAGCTTTGTGTATCTTGGCCACAGATGTTTTCAATATGTCCTTCCTCACAAATGTTAACACACTTTATTATATATTATATAACACATTATTTCAGCCATTTCCCATTCCAACATCGTCCTTACTTTACAGACGTCCTTCCATTTGCATACTATGCAAAGTATCAGCCAAACTTGTGGTTTCCCTCTACGAAAGCTTTTCGCTGTGCTCCCCTGCACTGGATTAATGCAAATGTGTTGCGGTACATCAGGGTCAAATGCACCTGCCCTGTCCGTACAATCATCTACACACTCTGTGCACTACATCACACTGATGCTCTTTTTCCAGACTACCTGTACAGTTTTGAGAACATTTCACACTTGTCAGCCACAGTGGGATGTTAGACTTCCTTTTAATGCATGCATTTGTATTCAAAATGTTTAAAACAACGCACACTAACATGCACACATATACTGGTTCATTGTCAGTGTGCGTTATCACTTCCGCAACTAATCTCCAGTCAAACAGCTAAATCCACTGAATCATCCACAGTTACAAATACAGATATATCAACTCTTTACTCATCCCTAACAGATGAAACATAAGATGTTTAAGCAATGCACTGTACATACCATTGATTTTCATTCATTTCCAGAACAAACTCCAGTGCCGTTACATAAACAAAACACACACACAGACACACACAGGCAGTGTGGCTATTCTGGTAGGTTGTGATGTTTGACCCAGATAGAGGTCCAGCAGTCAGATTGCAATGGAAGATACTTTTCTTTCTTGCCTCTGCAGTATTTATTATTTAACACTCATTTGGCCCACAGCCACACGCAGACATACGCAGCCTAGTTGTGTGTGTGTGTGTGTGTGTGTGTGTGTGTGTGTGTGTGTGTGTGTGTCTGTGTGTGTGTGTGTGTGTGTGTGTGTGTGTGTGTGTGTGTGTGTGTGTGTGTGTGTCTCCACCACTCTCAGGCCTGTCAGTCTACATCCAGCTTACATCTCTTCACCAATGGCTCAGCATTATGGTGGAATTCCACTCAGGGTGAACCTGATACCCACCTTCCCTGTGTGTCACTCTCTCTTCATTCTTTCAGTTTCTCTCAACATTGTTTGTCTGTTTATCTCCACATCTGAACACTTGTCTCTGCATCTTCAATTCATACCTCTCTCTCTCTCTCTCTCTCTCTCTCTCTCTCTCTCTCTCTCTCTCTCTCTCTCCCTCACTCTCTCTGTCCCTCCTTCCTCTTCTGGGGTAAATAAGACATAATACACACACACACACACACACAGAGATCCCAGAATAGACCTGTGTGTGGGAAAAGTTCACTGCAGCTACAGTAGACTATAATACTCTGGTTTATGTTCAGCTCAGTGTATGAGTGGGTGGCTGAGGGTGTGTGTTGGTATGTGCACATTTGCATATGTGTGTTAGTTAGTGATTGGCTGCAATTTTCATGATTATTGTCAATGTCAGTGTATGTGTGCTGCATCAGGTAATGAGCTCTGAATAAATGAGGAGAAGTCTCTTTATTAGTGGATAATTCTGCCTGTGCTCTAAAGAGGAGTGGACATGAAGCCAAAATCAAAACTTCCCTACTTCCACAGTGCCATTACCACAAATTTTCACTTGCTTGGTGTCATCAAAGTGATTGGAATCACCATCATCAAAGTCTTTTTTCAATGGTGCATGTTGGTCTAGAGAAGGAAAGGTGAGAGGAGGAGGAGAAGAGGAGGGGGAGAGGAGTCAAGAGGGCTGGGGAGGTGGGGTTACCCTGGAATGCACTGTCACCATGAGAAAAAATGCACCCTCACTGGTTTGGTGCTTTGTGTGGAGGAAAAGATAAAGACTTACAGGAATGAATGTATTTTGAGGATGGAGATAGATAGACAGACAGAGAGAGAGAGAGAGAGAGAGAGAGAGAGAGAGAGAGAGAGAGAGAGAGAGAGGGTGATCGAGATTGAGATCTACAGGGAAAGTTGATGGAGCAGACAGAGTTTTAACCTCAGGGTTGAGTATCAGTGAAAAGGGAAGGAAAGACAGTTTTACCTGATGATACTCAAAGTTTATGAGAGGACGTTCTTGGTCCCTTGACTGAGCTGTGAGGTCGGTTTGTGAGTACAGTAACATGTCCTTTACCAGCATCTATTTGAAATCTAAACACCTATAAGAGGAGGACAGTTGTAAAACTGTGTGGGTCCTGTGGGAAATGACAGTAGCCCCAGTGAGAGGGATTGTGCCAAGGCTGAAACACTTAGGACAACACCATCAGTCCCTCTATCCATTCCTGACCTCTTGTGGAGTCCTTGAAGTACTGCAGGATGAAGGCTGAAAAGCATTTTAACTCCAGGCCAATGCCTGTTGCTAGGAAGATCAACAATTTATGGTTATGGCACTTACTCTGACATACAGGCAACAGTTTACCATGGCTGTGTCCAAAATCACTTCCTTATTCACTCATTCACTACTCCATGTATAATAGACAGTGAATAGTTTACTATATAGTGAGCAGTTCAGATTTCAGACACTTTCTCATTATCATCCACTTTTGGTTCAGTTGTGGGAGTAAATCTAGTGCACTACATAGTAAATAGGGATTAGTTTTGGACACAGTCCATGTTTACATTTCTGGTGTGTTTCATGAGAAGATGAGACATTTTTTTCCAGCACCAGCAGGTATGACGTGTATGTGTGTCTGTATTTGTGCAGGTACGCGTGCTCAGTCTATTACCAACTTCCCTGTCTCCAGTTATGTTGTCAGTCATACATGTTTACTTAGGTGTAACCACAACCTAAAAAATACATGTGGTTTGAATAATCTCAAATGTAGCCAATCACATGCTCTTTTTTTTCCTTTGGCTAATTTTGATTAAGGATACAAATTGGATTTAAATGCCACACACATCTATTCTAGACTTCAGTCTGCAAAGATAAGCAAAATCAACTTAAACTTAAAGATTTTTATGAAAATAAGGTTTCTGTGAAAAGTGGCTGCAGAACATCCTCAGCGGTGAATCCTGTGTCTGTGTTCAGATACAGTGGCACTGACTTCAGCTCATCATAAGAAAACTTTATACAGTTGATAATGGAACAGACTTGAAATTCCAGAAGGTCCAGATTCCTCACGCTGCCTTGTGATATGACGCAGCACGCTGTCTTTCCCACACTCTCCCCCGCCCATCCATTCATCCAGCATGTCCAATCCTTCTGCAGCCTAAAGTGTGTGTGTGTGTGTTGGGTGATAATGTATGTCAAACAGATGTGAAGGCACCAAACATGGCAGAAAATAAGGTGATTTAGGCAGTTGTAGTGCAAGTGTGTTACGGTGATACACTGTGCAGTAGTGTTGCAGCGAGTGTTGGCCTTGTGACCAAGAGGTGATAGTGTATCTGTGTTTTCTCCACAGGCAGTCCAGCCTAATGGCACCTCAAGACCTCCACCCGCTTACCTCGCGTAAGTCGCACAAGAACATGGACATAATGATATGCTTTTCACTCTCTCAGACGTGCACTCATCTCTGCTGCGTTTTTTCATAGGGGAGGGAACCCATTCGCCACAGTCAGGCTACGTCCAACCGTCACCAATGACCGCTCCGCACCGGTTATCTGATCCGTCCACATTTTCACCCATCCTTGATTCCCACAACTCCTCATCAATCTTCCAGTGTCATTAACCCAGGACATGCAGCTCTGCCCTGCCTTTACTGTCCAGCAGCTTCTTCTGATCTGAGTGAAATCAGACAAACTTGGCCAGCACTGAGAGAAAAAAATTGCCATTTGAATCTTGGATCCCCTTACTGCTGCAAACTCTAATATGGAAGTATTTTGGGACCATTTTATTTACAGAACAGATGCTCGTATATTTAAAGTCATGTATTTTCTATGTCTATTTTTGTCCTTCTGTGTGTGGTGGTGATATTTAAATGACCACATTCTTACCTGCACTTGAGAGATAGATGAATAAAAATGGTCAAAGAAAATGTTGCAAAGTATTTATGCCGTTCATGTTGCTTGAGCATCATCAAAACGACTGTTAGAAATCGTGTCTGTTGCCATAGGACAGTAGAAGAATGTACTGTAGAGGACCTGTGCATTTCACCTTCAGGTTCTTACGACAATATGTATGTCAGTGTTGATACTAAAATTATGTTGATAGTTGCAGTAACAATAAAAATTGCAAACATTTAAAGAGATGCACCCAAACAGGCACACAGGTGGTCTTCATCCTTAGGTAACTTGTGTATAAATTTGTACAGATGCTATAAATATATGTCCTTTGCCATCTAACTTAACTTTTTGTAGAGCTAGATGATCATGGTGACAGGACTTTGCCTTAATGACACATACACACCTACTGTAAAATGTTATTTACCTGTTGCATCCTTCAGATTGTGGACATGAGTTGTGACAATCGCCTCATCTTATTCTTCACATACACAGTGCAATCATTTCTGCTTTAATCATTACATATTCTAAGACCACAGCTTGTGCATTATTTTGGTCTTTGGCCCAAAGTACATCCTTAATAGAAATTGTTGTATGAAAAATAAAGATTTTATTTCTTCAATTTGCTGTTTAGTTTGTTATCATGCACAAGTCATCTACACAAAGTGTCTGCATCATTATAATTATTATGAAACCTCCCTTTGTTTATATGGAAAGTAATATAAAGCAAGCAAGTACTCAAAAACATAAGTAGCATTCATTTTTAATTACAGTAACTCATATATAAAAAGTAAGAACCTCAATCATAAGAGCGTGCGTAGTGTGTTTTCTAAAGCAAGAATTTTTTTTTTAAATCCCTCCCACCCAGCTATATCTCATTTCTTCTGCCACGGACAGTTATATAACATCTTGCTGTGATGGAAGACATAGACATGGAGATACTGCAGATACAAGGACATAGACATTCTTGATTGATTGATTGTCTGGCTGGGAAGAATGGGGCAGGGTGACTTGTCACAGAGTCGAGTACTAAGATAAAAATCCAGAGGTTATACACATTATCAAGAGATTTCTTCAGCTTTTGCTCTCAGCATGCTTCCTTGAAGTGAAACTCCGCACGTTAAAGGACGAGTCTACATGTTGACATGAGTTTCTCTTAGAGTAGGTAAAAGTCCAAAGTCAAACAGTGATTGAGGTTGTAAAGTCGAGGGCGTTTCAGATTGTATGTACCTGAGGTCTGTATTGGCCCTGGAAAAGCACAACCCAGCAAAATAATCGTCAAACAAACGGTCAGTGCAAATATGGCCCCAAGGAATAATATCAACAAAAACAGACAAAATGCTGCAGGCGTTCTGTCTGACACAAGTCCATCGTTTCAGCCAGGACAGTTCATGTTCAGGGATCTTTTTTTTTTTTTTGTGTTATTCCATGTCACACTCCAAAAAAAACAAAAAAAACAAAAAAATTAGCATTTCCTGAAAAAGCTAATACATCAGTGATCAACATGGATGCTGTTACTAAGTTACTAAGCACAACATTAACCAAAAAATATGTATGCAGGGTGCCAGCTAATTTAAAAAAAAAAAAAAAAGGAGAAAAAAACCTCAGGCAAAACAACAAAAACACTACATGTGCCTTGGTTAATTCTGGCTTGTTTAGACATGAAGGAATCTGCTCAGATCCTCAAATGACTGAGCTTTATCTACAGAAGAAGAAATCATGACTGATGGAATCTGTGATGCGCACTCTGCATGTAGTGAAGGCACTGACAACAGCTGGACGCTTACATATGCTCGAATAACTCTTCAACTAGCAGGTGAAAAAAATGTCTACACGTGCCTCTAATAAAAACTCATATCATAATTCATGGTAATATCTTGATCATTTGTTGTACATAACATAATGGCAACAGCAATGTGCAATATTAAGAAGAAGAGAGAAGATAACAAAAAAAGACACGAAAATGCTGGATTGTGTGTGTGTGTGTGTGTGTGTGTGTGTGTGTGTGTGTGTGTGTGTGTGTGTGTGTGTGTATGTACGTGTGTGTGTACGTGCGAGCACAAGCGTGTGTGTGAGCTGTGGTTTGGTCCCTCTAGCCGAAGGTCGCGCCACAGTTGGGACACCTTCTCTGACGCAGTGCGAAGCAGAAGAGGATACCCAGCGGGAAGAAGAAGATGGCACACAGGATCCCCAGGCAAGTGAAGTCATCCTCCAGGACACCAACTCTGCAAACACACACACATACAAGAGAAAGCATTAATTGATTAGATGATCCAAGATTTTAATCACAGAAAAGATTATGGTAAAGGTTTTGTGCCTGATTAGCTGCCTCCATTAAGTGTACACAAGACCAGGTCATGTCCACTTGAGGGTATCTTCAAAACCAGCCAAGGTCTGACCAGTACCACACTGCCCAAACAACATTTATCAAATGCTTATCTGCAGTCTTTCTCTACTACCTCCATTCTGAACCATGTCCTGACATTTCACGGTAAACAGCTATCAGGAAGACACGGCTCTGTTTGAGTCTGACCTCATTCTAAAAAAGGAGAAGTTCAATTTACATTATAGAGGCTAGAGAAAGAAAGAAAAATCTTTCAAATCTCAACAATTATCCTTAAATCATTATTATTAAGATAAAGAAGTCAGATATATGCCTATTTGCCCAAAAGATTAAAAGTACAAGAAAGTACAATCTAGAAAGGGTTTTTTTCCTCGTGTGACAAATATCTGAAGAAAAAAAACTGTCATAACATGTAGCAACTTGTTGTAGAGAGTGCTGAACTGTGTCTGAGAGCAGCTTTAATCCAGAGTCACGGTAAACAAAGTGCTAACCATGGTCTCATGACTGCACCGCACTGAACCAGCGTGCCCAGTAAATTGCTGGAGGCCCCGAGAAGGAATTAACAAGCCAAGACCCCAAAGACATGGGAAGTGAAAAGCTACTGCACTATGGAGAGCACTTACTCTATGAAAACATAGCTATGGATTTCTGTTGGGGTTAATTAAATAGAAATAACCTTAATAAACAGGCCTTAATTACAATGGTAATATTAGATTCTGCTGCAATGATAAAAATGGTTTAACCTTATCATATTAATATTATTCTATTTCCTAAACCAGGTTAGCTACATAGCATTTGGACTAAAACTATGTGTGTTTGGTCTGCAATGGCACCACATCACACTGTGCTGCCGTGCCATGTCCTAAGTGTTTGCATTTGCAGAGCTTATTTGTACACTGGTGACAGGAACTGTAGCATTCATCAACCCAGGCAGCATGGCCATGATGCAAATACTGACTTAAACTGCACCAACTCTTTTAAACTCCCCTGATTGTTTTAGATAATGTAGACATACACAGTGTACTCAGGTGTATGTGTACTGTTATCACAAAGTGTTAGGGAGCAGCACATCTATTGTACTTTTAGAAATATAGGGTTGATGAAATGAATACAATGATAAACAGCCAGATAAGGAAAAGAATAACAGAATGTGAATTTGAGTAATGCTCACATTAAATGTGTCACAATGGCGCTGCGTAGTTATTCATAAATTTTCTTTTAAACTTTTAAATAAATATTTCTGAAGCTGATTCTTATTGTGTACTCATAGAAAATACATAAAGCTTCACTGCAGTTTTCAGCTAATGAGTAAGTGTCCCTTTATCTTTGGAACTGTGTAATCATTAATTATAATTATACTACAGTAAATTTCAGAGACCGCCTGCCATTAAATTCACCAAACAAACACATCAGTAAAACAATCTGAGCAGCACTAGCACGGTATTCATTAACTTCATGACAATAAACAATCCTGCTGCAGTGCTGTGAAGTGAAAAGCTTCACAACCTGGTTCCTTGACTTCTTGGAAAAGATAGATATTATTATTCAACTTCAACCAGTGAGATGAGTGTTAGTGTGTCCTGCAGCCACCTTTGGCCCCGTGTGGCCTGACCAGCCCCCGTCACATGTTTGAGGCTGAAATCATCTGACTGACAGGATGTTGACTCAGGCACTGTGAAACCAATGTGAAACCTCCTTCTAAAACTGAAAGTCACATCCGCTCAACATCTGGTCACACTGCGGGCCTGACAACAGACACGTAGGAACAATGAAAGTACACATACAGATAGAGAGAATGTATAAACACAAAATAGACAAAGAAACACAAACTGGATGATTTCGGCCTCAAAGGGAACTCTTGCTCAGAAACCAGGTTAGTCACAGCGAGCATGGGACACTCATGTTTAACCACGAGCTAATCAAGAGAGCTCACTGTCAGTGAATGCTCTCAGTTTTATCAGTTTCGTGAGTGGACAGACTGAATTGCTGTTTTACTGCCCTCATCCTTGATGTCCAACTGTGAACAACCATCCACTATTCACATCACTTATTCTCAGTATTCGTGCTTCTTTGTGTATGAACTTACTGTGCATGTTAATCAGTTTCCTGGTGTATGTACAGTACATGAAGGTCAACTAAAAGCCATATCATAATTACAGCCCTCCATGATATACTGTAATATATATCACGTGTGTGTGTGTGTGTGTGTGTGTGTGTGTGTGTGTGTGTGTGTGTGTGTGTGTGTGTGTGTGTGTGTGTGTGTGTGTGTGTGTGTGTGTCCTCACCTGCAGGCAGGGCAGCCTCCCACCACCACTACAGAGGGTTGGAGGATGGTGTAGGTCCCAGCGTAGGGCTGCTGGGATACGGCCGGGCCCATTTGGGCTGATGGGTATCCTGTGGTTGACAGAAGGAGATGGCACAGATGTTATTGTGGACAGGTAGTGTCAATACTTAGCTTGTTTGTAATAGAGAAGTTACCACACCATGTCTTGTTTTTTTAATTTAAACTTTTATTCAGGGGATTTTCTGTATGAATTTGAAATGTGAAATGTGCACACTCAGTAGTAACACATATTCAGAGGCTGCACTTATCACTGTCAACAGGTTGTGCAACACAGCCAGACATCACTGAAATAGACAGACAAAAGGAAGTGAAATGTAGTTTGAAGTGCAAGTTTGCCAAATCAATTTAAATTGAGCTTTGGTCTAGTATTAAGTAATCTTGAATTGATCTGTTGCTATGAAAATAAGTTTCTAAGTGTAACTGTCATGTTACAGAGAGACTGGAATGATTAATGGTTACAAGCAATGTTTTTCAGGAACAAATACCAGACCCTTGAAAGGCACATCTGATCATCAACTTACTATAAACACAAACTGGCCAGAGAACACTAGGTTATTACAAGTTATGATGTGTGTGAGTGTGTTTGCAGGAGAGTTGTGGATTCGCTGGATCTGAGGCCATATTGACTTTTCTGACCACTTGTGTACAGCTGTGTGCAAGTGCATTTGTGACACAGTGAACTCTGATACCACAGCATTCCCAGAAATGTTTACCCACACTTTTTGTCTGATATGGAAACGTCCCTGTGAGGAGACCAGACTTTTAGCCAAATGATTCGTTTTCTAAATGAAAACAATGCTTTGGAAATGTTTGAATCAGGTTTCGGGGCTAACCTCAGTACAGAGACGGCCCTTGTTGAAATTCTCAGTGATCTCAGAATTAACGCTGATGTTAGTAAGGTCTCTGTTATGATTCTTCTGGATATAAATTCTGCTTTTGACACAGCTGAAACAGCTGATGAAATTCTTATGGATAGCCTTGAGTGCAGGGTTAGGCTCTGTGGGACTATTTTAAACTGGTTCCGATTGTGCATCACATGGAGGAATTGATGATAAATTGATGAATGATTTGCCCTTAGGTGTTGCTCATGTAAGGAGTCATGGTCCACTCCTTTTTCTGCTGTATGTGCTCCCCTTAGATGATATCATCGGGGAATATATAATACACTATATATATATATATATATACTCATATACACTCAAGCCTGATGACGATCAGGGACCAGCTTACATTGCAGACTCTGTAGTTTTATAATACTGCTGGGTTTTTAAATACATAAACTTATACACACAAGAAAATAGGCAGCACAGCTTTAACTATAGAATTCCCTACAAAGAGCTATCACAGATGCTCTCTGAACATTTTTAAATGACAGCTGAAAAGCTATTTATTTAATTTGTCTTTTAATTTTCATTGTCATTTTCTCATTTGATATATTTCATCATCTACTGTCATTTTATTGTCTTTACATTCACCCTTGTTTTAAGATGTGCAATTTCTTTGTTAATTATGTATTTATTTTTTGTAAAGCACTTAACACCCTGAGCTACATCTCTTGCATGGAAAGTGCTCTATGAATAAAGTTAGTTAGTTAAACTATTTGTAGTATTAGTATTATCATCATTGTAACTTTAAGTAACTAAAACCAAAACAGGAAACGACATACAATCACAGGAAATGTGACTTTAATTTAAGACAGCATAACTTCCTTGACGTGCTGATTGCAGCTTTTACACGATCAGTCAGGTGATGACCGCCTCTTTCACATACAGCACACGTATACAAGGCCTGGGGCCACTCTCAGATGGTTGAGCTGTAAAAGCTACCTGCACAAAGTTCGTACATGTCAACATTAACATATTTCACATTCTGTTGCTTCCTTTAAAAACACTTAGGCCTATAGACCACATGATTTGCTGGCGATGGTAATCATCTGAATAGAGTTTACCGTTCATTTGTGGTTTGTTGGGCACACGGCAAACCGCCGTGCAGGGTTAGATATTTTCTAATTTATGCAAAAAAAAATTGTCAGTATCACAGCAACTGGCGTATTGCGCATGCGCGACATTGGAGCGGATAAACAACGCTAATTAGTATTTCACAGTAAAAGTTTAAGTCTCAGATATGTTATTCATAATCTGCATTTTACGGCAAAAATACTCAGTGACGCACACAGACTCCGAACCAAAAACAAAGCGTCAGAAGCTGTCCTTTAAACGAATCCGGAAGTGGGCAGGAGTGAGAGATCTCTTCCCGTCTGGGTACTTTACTTTCTGGTAAATGTGTGGACCGTATAAGTGTGCGACATTAACGGAGCTACTACCTTGGCCGTCGGGGTACGGGTAGGGCGGCGGGGCCGGAGAGGGGATGGCCCCATAGCTGTGCTGTTGCGGGCCGTACTCATAAGCCCCTGGGACGGCGTTGTAGGCGGGAGGTCTGTCCTGAAGAAGAGGTTTGCTGTCCACCATCTCACCCGACGTAATGCGTCCCCTCAAGTTGTCTCGTCCTCTTCCCTTAACTTAATTCCTCAGCCACAGAAAGGGTCAAAACTGAACTCCGGCTACTTTGCTTCTGTTGTCCGAGAAGCCGAGCAACGTTGGCTGACACGCAGTGGCGACAAAAACAAAGAAAACAAAGAAAAGACGCTGCGCAAAAATGAAACTTCGTCCCTCTCCATGCGCCAACTTTGTCCCCGGCGGCGCAACAACCCAAATATTTATCAAATGTCCACTTTAAGACAGGAATGGTCTGAGTCAGCCTGGTAATGGTTAACTTAACTCCATTTCCATCCTCGCAGTTGGTCCTTTTGTACCAAAACAACAGTAATCTGTCATCACAGCACCTTATAACTCAGCTGGAAGTCAGAAAGGCTTTTCCTTTCTGTCTGGATTGTCACAAGAGAAGAATCATGTGATGAGCTGCTGTAGCGCCTCTGCGCACCGACAGGCTTCTTAAAGCGACAGGCCATGAAAATAAAAAGCTGTAGTGCAGCTGCTGCATGCAGTTCTCTGCAGAGCAACAGCTCAAACAGACAACACACGGTTACCTCCAGTGCCAGTTGATTGGAAAGACAAGCCTGTGCATAATGCAGTCACTGGAAAGATGTACACCCTGTTATGTTGTTAGTTAACTGCGACAAAGTTTGAGGAAACCCCATGTGTGGAAGGCAACCGAGCAAACAGGTAACACGTTCCCTACATTCCATGAATGTAAGCTGAAGATTGTTTTTGAGGAACCTTCAGAGAACCTTAAGGGAACGTTCTCTAAAGGTTCTCTGAAGGTTCAATAAATGTAACCTTCCAGAAATGTTCCTGGAACGTTCGCTAAAGGTTGCACAGCCAGAACAAACCTTAATGGGGCCCTTAGCAGAATTTGATTTAGCCTAGGGCGTAGATTTGGTCACAACATTTGTAGGGACACAACAACCTGCCAGCCCTCCAAAACAAATAAATTGACTTTTTGATGAACATCGTCATGGTATAGTAAGGTATGGTATGATAAGTATGGTAAGTATTAAAACGAACAAGTAAAGTAAGGTATAAAAATGTAAAAAATAAAAAAAATAAAAAAAAAACGTCAAAGGATAGTAAGGCATAAAAACGTAAAAAACCTTGATAGTATAGTAAGGCATGAAAACGACATAGTGTAGTTAGTCATGAAACTCAAAAAACGTCATAGTATGGAAAGTTATAAAAGCGTCAAAAGACATAGTTCAGTATGAAAAAGTCATAGTACATTAAGGCATAAAAAGTCACAGAAAGTCATAAAAAAGCCATAGTGTAATAAGTCAATAGTCAAACAATGTCATAATGTAGTGAAGTATAAAAATATCAAAAAACGTCATAGTGTAATTAGGCATGAATATATAGTATAGAAGGGCATAAAGAAGTTGGAAAACTCCACACAGAAAGATCACTGTATACATTGAGCCACCAAAAGTCATAGGAAGTCATTAAAAAGGGGCATAGGTAAGGCATAAAAATGTAAAAGAAAAAAAAAAAAAAACATCATACTATAGGAAAGCAGAAAAACTTCAAAAAACGTTGTAGGATAGTAATGTATAAAAACGTCATAGTATAAAAAGGCATAAAAACGTCATAGTATGGTAAGGTATGAAAACGTCATGTTATAGTAAGGAGTAAAAATGTCATAAAACATCATAGTATAGTAAGGTATAAAAACGTCATAGTATAGTAAGGCATGAAAAGGTCATAGTATAGTAAGGTATAAAAATGTCAAAAGATGTCATATTTTAATAAGGCATAAAAATTTCAAAAAACACATCATATGTTACTAAGGCATGAAAACATCATAGTATAGAAAGGCATAAAGATGGAAAAACATCATACTGTGGTAGGGCATAAAACCGACATAGTATAGTAAGGCATGAAAACGACATAGTGTAGATAGTCATGAAACTCAAAAAAAGTCATAGTAAAGTGAGATATAAAGATAAGAAAAAAACATCATAGTATGGAAAGTTATAAAAACATCAAAAGACATCATAGTATAGTTAAGTATGAAAACGTCATAGTATAGCAAGGCATGAAAAGGTCATAGTATAGTAAGGGATAAAAATGTCAAAAGATGTCATAGTATAGTAAGGCATAAAACGTCGAAAAACGCCAAAGTATAATAATAATCATAGAAATTTCAAAAAACGTCGTACTATAATAAGGTAACAAAATATCAAAAAACAAACATCATACTATAATAATAATCATAAAAATGTCAAAAAATGTCATACGATGTTAAGGCATAAAAATGTAAAAAACCGTGATAGGATAGTAAGGCATGAAAACGACATAGTGTAGATAGTCATGAAACTCAAAAAAAGTCATAGTAAAGTGAGATATAAAGATAAGAAAAAAACATCATAGTATGGAAAGTTATAAAAACATCAAAAGACATCATAGTATAGTTAAGTATGAAAACGTCATAGTATAGCAAGGCATGAAAAGGTCATAGTATAGTAAGGGATAAAAATGTCAAAAGATGTCATAGTATAGTAAGGCATAAAACGTCGAAAAACGCCAAAGTATAATAATAATCATAGAAATTTCAAAAAACGTCGTACTATAATAAGGTAACAAAATATCAAAAAACAAACATCATACTATAATAATAATCATAAAAATGTCAAAAAATGTCATACGATGTTAAGGCATAAAAATGTAAAAAACCGTGATAGGATAGTAAGGCATGAAAACGACATAGTGTAGATAGTCATGAAACTCAAAAAAAGTCATAGTAAAGTGAGATATAAAGATAAGAAAAAAACATCATAGTATGGAAAGTTATAAAAACATCAAAAGACATCATAGTATAGTTAAGTATGAAAACGTCATAGTATAGCAAGGCATGAAAAGGTCATAGTATAGTAAGGGATAAAAATGTCAAAAGATGTCATAGTATAGTAAGGCATAAAACGTCGAAAAACGCCAAAGTATAATAATAATCATAGAAATTTCAAAAAACGTCGTACTATAATAAGGTAACAAAATATCAAAAAACAAACATCATACTATAATAATAATCATAAAAATGTCAAAAAATGTCATACGATGTTAAGGCATAAAAATGTAAAAAACCGTGATAGGATAGTAAGGCATGAAAACGACATAGTGTAGATAGTCATGAAACTCAAAAAAAGTCATAGTAAAGTGAGATATAAAGATAAGAAAAAAACATCATAGTATGGAAAGTTATAAAAACATCAAAAGACATCATAGTATAGTTAAGTATGAAAACGTCATAGTATAGCAAGGCATGAAAAGGTCATAGTATAGTAAGGGATAAAAATGTCAAAAGATGTCATAGTATAGTAAGGCATAAAACGTCGAAAAACGCCAAAGTATAATAATAATCATAGAAATTTCAAAAAACGTCGTACTATAATAAGGTAACAAAATATCAAAAAACAAACATCATACTATAATAATAATCATAAAAATGTCAAAAAATGTCATACGATGTTAAGGCATAAAAATGTAAAAAAAAAACGTCATACTATAGTAAGGCATAAAAATAAAAAAGCGTCATATTATAGTAAAGCATAAAAACATCAAAAACTTCATACTGTAGTAAGGCATAAAACGTCGAAAAACGCCAAAGTATAATAATAATCATAAAAATTTCAAAAAACGTCGTACTATAATAAGGTATCAAAATATCAAAAAACAAACATCATACTATAATAATAATCATAAAAATTTCAAAAAATGTCATACTATGGTAAGGCATAAAAATGTAAAAAAAAAACGTCATAGTATAGTAAGGCATAAAACGTCGAAAAATGCCAAAGTATAATAATAATCATAAAAATTTCGAAAAACGTCATACTATAGTGAGGTATCAAAATATAAAAAAAAACCCATCATACTATAATAATAATCATAAAAATTTCAAAAAATGTCATACTATGGTAAGGCATAAAAATGTAAAAAAAAAACGTCATACTATAGTAAGGCATAAAAATGAAAAAGCGTCATATTATAGTAAACCATAAAAACATCAAAAGACATCATAGTATAGTTAAGTATGAAAACGTCATAGTATAGTAAGGCATGAAAAGGTCATAGTATAGTAAGGTATAAAAATGTCAAAAGATGTCATAGTATAGTAAGGCATAAAACGTCATAGTATAACAAGGCTAAAAATGTCAAAAAAACATCATATTTTAATAAGGCATAAAAATTTCAAAAAAACGTCATGTGATACTAAGGCATGAAAACATCATAGTATAGAAAGGCATAAAAATGGAAAAACATCATACTGTGGTAGGGCATAAAAACGACATAGTATAGTAAGGCATATAAATGTCAAGTCCACAAAGAAGGGTATCAAGACCATGAAATGATCCATGAACCCTCTGACTGCAAGGTAACAGCTCTAACCACTCCACCACATCTCCACATTGTTTGTTGTATTTATTGAGGCCTATAAAGTCAGAAGAAGTCAAGAAAAAAAAAGAGGTCAAAAAACGTCCTACTATAATAAGGCATAAAAGTGTCAAAAAACGTCATAGTATTGTAAAGCATAAAACGTCGAAAAACGCCAAAGTATAATAATAATCATAAAAATTTCAAAAAACGTCATACTATGGTAAGGCATAAAAATGTAAAAAACCGTGATAGTATAGTAAGGCATGAAAATGACATAGTGTAGTTAGTCATGAAACTCAAAAAACGTCATAGTAAAGTGAGATATAAAGATAAGAAAAAAAACGTCATAGTATGGAAAGTTATAAAAACGTCAAAAGACATCATAGTATAGTTAAGTATGAAAACGTCATAGTACATTAAGGCATAAAAAGTCACAGAAAGTCATAAAAAAGCCATAGTGTAATAAGTCATAATAGTCAAACAATGTCATAATGTAGTGAGGTATAAAAATATCAAAAAATGTCATAGAATAATTAGGCATGAATATATAGTATAGTAGGGCATAAAGAAGTTGGAAAACTTGCAAACTCCAGACAGAAAGATCACTGTATTCATTTAGCCACCAAAAGTCATAGGAAGTCATTAAAAAGGGGCATAGGTAAGGCATAAAAATGTAAAAAAAAAAAAAAAAAAAAAAAAAAAACCCCAAAAACAAAAAAAAAAAAAAAAAAAAAAAAAAAAAAACCCATCATACTATAGGAAAGCATAAAAACTTCAAAAAAATGTTGTAGGATAGTAATGTATAAAAACGTCATAGTATAAAAAGGCATAAAAACGTCATAGTATGGTAAGGTATGAAAACATCATGTTATAGTAAGGAATAAAAATGTCATAAAATGTCATAGTATAGTAAGGTATAAAAACGTCATAGTATAGTAAGGCATGAAAAGGTCATAGTATAGTAAGGTATAAAAATGTCAAAAGATGTCATAGTATAGTAAGGCATAAAACGTCAAAGTATAACAAGGCTAAAAATGTCAA